ATTATTATTAATATTATTATTATAAAAAACTTGATTGTTGCACTATGTTTTTTATTATATATCATAAATTTATATTAATATTTAACTCTTATATATTTTAGTCAAGATTTTATTTTATTTTATTTAAAAAATTATACATTTATTTATTTACTGTACCAGCTATTAATTATATTATAAATGACATTCAAATATTTAATTATAATACAATATAGTATTTTGATTTCCTTATAAGTAAAATACTAAAATACTTGACAAAAATAAATTAAACCTTTATGTTAATGCTCGTGCAATATGCCTATATAATAGTTACTTTTTAAAAAAGTTATTATTGATTAAATGATATCTAAATTATGGTCAAGACATTTAAAATATTAATTTTAAAAGAGATCTTGTAAGCAAACTATGGTGTAACATGTTACATAGATAATTGTTCACATTTTCGATATTAATGTTAACTTTGATGCTATATAATAATATTTAAATTTGTCAAAAAAATTTTAAAAATTAAATATGTGTACTTTAATTTTTTTTAAAGTTTTATTTACATATTATTATTCAATATATATATATATATATATATATATATATATATATATATATATATATATATATATATATATATATATATATATATATATATATATATATTGAAAAATAATTTATATATGCAAAGTTATTTCAATATTGTAACATCCCAAATTGAACTAGGTTATTTAATTGAATGTCAGCTGCATTTTATTTTACTATTTTAATGATTTGATGTGCTTTCTGTTGTTATTTATTGAATATACGAGGTATGTGATATTAGTGGGGATATTGGTCGGAGTTAGGAAGAGTGTTGGAAATTAATTATAATTTTTAATTAATTTTTAAATGAGTAGAAATATGGAATAATAAATAGTGATAATTTCATTGTTTTTATGGTTGGTGAATCATGTATGACACTTTAATGAATGAAATTAAGAATTAAAGGTATTATTTTAGTTTATGTTTAGTTGGGGAATTAGGGTGTTACATAGTGGTATTAGAGGAGGTCGATCCTATCTGTCACGTTGTGTAATTTTGTATGTTATCTAGTATGCGACATGTGTGTGAAGCACTATCGATGTTAGTTTTTGTTTCCTAATTGCTCGCCAACATAATCTGGATTGAAACAAGTGGGAGAGAAGCTTCTACTTCTCCGAGATGTTTTAGGTGTGGAGTATTGGTTCAGGGTGTCGCTGATTGCAAAGTGCAGTTGATGTTTAGGCTATGTTGTTTCCCAAACCCAAAGAGAGTACGAAATTGAGATTTATGTCTGAAAGTTAGGTAGAGATTTCCTTGAGGGGAGACGATCAGGTGCTCATGATGTTCAATCCTTGAAAGTGGAAAGTGATATGACAGCTAGAGATATGTCAATGGTATTTGAATTTCCTGATGTGGTTCATGAAGATATCTATGACTTTCCTCCAGATTCAGTACCTAATATTAGGCATGTTTCAATGGCTCCATATCATATGTTAGCATCAGAGTTGGGCTAGTTAAAGAAACTGTTGGAATACGTGCTTGAGAATTAGTTTGTTCGACCTAGTGTTTCACTGTGGGGAATGCCAATATTGTTGGCGAAAAAGAAATATGATAGCATGAGGTTTCATGTTGACTATCTACAACTGAAAATTGTTACTATAAAGAACACATATCCTCTATCAAGAATTGATGACCTTATGGATCAGTTGGAGGGTGCTTGTGTGTTTAGTAAGATTGGTTTGAGATCAGGTTATCATTAGATTCTAGTGAAGGCTGGATATATTCTGAAGACTTCTTTTAGAATCTAATATGGTCACTATGAATACTCAATGATGCGGTGTGCTAATGTGTCTGGTGTGTTTGTAGAGTATATGAATATGATCTTCCATCCCTATTTGGACTAGTTTGTTGTGGTACTCATAGATGATATTCTAATTTATTCTAAATTATTTGAAGATCATGCAGGACATCTGAAAGTTATGTTGCAAACTTTGCAAGAGAAGAAGTTGTATTTCAAGCTATCCAAGTGTGTGTTCTAGTTAAAGGAAGTGATTTTTTAAGTCATGTGATTTCTAGTAGTTGTAAATCAGTTGATTTGTGGAAGGTTGATGTCGTATTAAAGTGGTGAACTCCTAAGTTTGTTACAAAGATCAGAAGTTTTTTAAGTTTGGATGGTTACTAAAGAAGGTTTATTGAAGTGTTTTCGAAGCTAGTGTTGCCTTTGACTCAGTTGACTCGAAACAGTCAAGCTTATGTGTGGAGTTTTCAGTGTGAAGAGAGTTTTTAGGAACTACATAAGAAGTTGACATTAATGCTAGTTTTAATTTTTCCAAGTCCGAGCGAATCATTTATGGTTTATTGTGATGCATCTAGATGAGTTTAGGGGGTGTGCTTATATAGTATGGATAAGTGGTATCTTATGCTTCAGGACAACTCAAGGTTCAAGGGAGGAATTCTCTTACCCATGACTTAGAGTTGGAAACCGTTGCGTTTTGTATTTAAGATGTGGAGACACTATCTATATGGTGCGAGGTTTGAAGTATTTAGAGACCATAAAAGATTGAAAGACATGTTCAATCAGATGAGTTGAACATGAGGCAGAAAAGATGGCTTGAGTTCTTGAAGGACTTCGACTTTGAGTTGAGTTATCATCCTAGTAAAGCAAATATCGTAGAAGATGGTTTGAGTACGAAGTCTTTGCATATGATGACATTGATGGTCTGAGAATTGGATTTACTTGAGTAGTTCTTAGATCTTAGTTTTGTATGTGAGATGACAACACTGTGTGTTATGCTGGGTATGCTGAAGTTGACCAACAATATTTTGTACTAGATCAGAAGGGGCCATAAATCAAAATTGGGATTGATTGACCAGTTAGTGTTGATCAATCAAGTTAAAGAGGCGGATTTAAGGATTTATGGGAATGGTGTAATGAGGTTCAGAGATAGAGTCTATGTACCCAATTGACAATAGATTTAGAAGAATATTCTTAAAGAAAGACATAAAAGTTGTTTTTATTATTCATCTCGGTGCTACGAAGTTGTATCAGGACCTTAAAAAGATGTTTTGGTGTCGGGTATGAAGAAGGATGTGATTGGTTTTGTTTATTCTTGTTTTAACTGTCATAAATTGAATATCGAGCATCAAAAGCCATATGGATTGATGCAACCGGTAAGTATTCCTGAGTGGAAATGGGACAATATTTTGATGGTTTGTAACAGGGTTTCCCAAGACGAGAAAGGGAAGTGATTCGATCTGGGTTGTTGTTGACAGGCTGACTAAATCGGCTCATTTCCTTCTAACAAAGATTAATTATTCGTTGCAGAAGCTAATCGAGACTTACATTAGTGAGATTGTGAAAGTTGCATGGTATTCCTTGGAGCATTCACTATTACATATTTGGTCTATAGTAGCACATATTTAATAGTGTATATGTAAAATTCTATTAAATATATTACACAAAAACTTATAATAGCGCTTTTGTCACAGGCGCTATAATAAGTTATAATAGATTAAAAATATATAGATACATACTAGTGATTTTTTATAAGTGCTACTACAGTCTAAAAAAATATCAAACAAAAAAAATATTTGGGGCCTTTATTAACTATTTAAGAAAAAGAGCTATCTTATATAGATTAAAAATTGTGAAAAAAGTTTAAATCAAAAATATGATTTAGACCTTTATTAGTGCTTTCAGAACAAGTGGTATCTTAGATAGCGACTAATATGACAATAAAAACACAATTTTTGCTATCCACCCAAACTCAAAATCGAGACCTCAAGTTTGAAGGGTTAAAATTATAGCGCACACCAATAATAACACTACCAAAAGCGCCACTTAGATAAAGATAATTAAAACAAAAAAATATGGAGTTTATGCATGACTATCTTGCAAATTCGATAATTTAGCTGAAACTTATAAAAATATTATAATAAAAAGTGCTATTACAAGTGAAAAACCAATAAAACCATATTCCTTCTATCGAAATATCTCGCGCTCTTCATTTTGTATTGACGTAAATATTCCTGCCTGCGAAGATTCAGTGAAATCTTCAGACAAACTTCAATTTATTGTTCTCATATATCTCATGTCAACTCCGTCGAACCCTAAAAATCATCGATTTGCTTTGCTGTGTCATCTCCTTTAAGCCCTAAAACACCATTATTTGTTGTGTTACCTTCTCTTAATCTTTCTTCACCCAGTCACAACAACAATAATCACGAAGTAGCTTCTTGTAGCTTTCTGCAAAGGGGATTAGACATTCTCAAATTGCTTTCTGCAAAGGGGATTCAACATACCGAAATCGGCATTTTTGCTTCAACCTCAATGTTATTGAAATAGGCAGTTTTGCAAAAGGGATTCTTTTAAGAAAAATGCAAGTATTTCTTTAAGATTAAGAATTGATAATTTTTGTTCTTATAATAATGTTCGGTTAAATGCCTCATAGAAACAATATTTTCATTATTTAAAATGACTGAGATACTGTTTCATTGAATCCGCATCGTATTCAGAACAAGGCCCCTCCTACAATAAGTTTGTCTTAAATTGTTACTGCTATATGTTTGGGATGTTTAATCCCTTGAAGTAGACATTATCTCTTTTTCGCTCATGTTCTCAGTACCATTCAATATGGCTACATTTATGCATATCTCTTGTCTAATTCTTTTGAAGTTAGGTTGTTGTGGAATATGATTTAGAGATTATGGCCTAAACAGTTCTATAATGTGTGTTAAAACCCTTTAGTAACTTTTTGAAGGAAGTTATTGACACATTGATATTAGAAGCATATAGGGCACAACTCTAAGGTGATTAATTAGTAAATGATGGAAATAATAAATTGTTAGAGAGCCATAGAAAAGTTATTAAAAAATGATTATTTATTATATTTTTAAATATTCTCATAAAATTAGAGAGCAAAATACCAAGTGGTATTGGTAGATTCAATGAACGCCTTTATAATTCTTATGATAGAATATGTAATAATATTTCTTTAGAGACAATTCTTATTCCTGCCTGGTCCACCATAGTAAAAGAAAGTCCCCCAGTTACGGCTAACTCCTCCTTTTACATTATAACAATTTGGGCTATCTGCATAATTCTGTAGATTTGTTGGCTGAACCCAGTAGTCTCTTTTTGAATTTAAAACATTAATATTGTTAAAATATGCAGCTTTCTGCCAACCCTCTTCAGGAAAGTGTCCACTACCCATTTGGATGGAAGAAGCCTTTGGATATTGTTCATTAAGTATTTCTCCACCCCAATGAACCTTAGATGCAACATCTTTCAGGTTTGTAAATAAGGAGGATGGCCAATACCCAACATTTTTATATCCATAACGAAGCCACCAATTTCCTGTCTTTACATCCTACACAAACAAAATTGATAATAAACCTATATTTTAGGTTTTTTACAAGGAAATATAAATATATAATAAAATAAATGGCAACTAATGATCCACCAAAGTAGAAATTACCTTCCATACAGATAAGGAAATTTTAAATTGCTTTCCATTATATGTAGAAATTGGAGAAATTGCAGCTCCAAATGCAATATCTTTGTTCGTTTGAACAAAACCTGGGCATTGTAAGTTGTAGCAACTATTTCTATATGCATCAGCCTGCAATCATAAATACCATTAATTTTTTAATAAAATTTATATTGCATAATATTATATATTTCCCATCTTTATTTCAATCAAATTACTTACCGTCCAGAAAATGAAAAATCTAGTGCGACGGTCCCCATAGAATCGTTGATCTATCTAGAAAAATTAACTTCAAGTTAGTTTGATTGATAACAATTCAAAATGAAGAAAGGTATTGATTAAAGGATACGCAAGATTACTGCAACAATTTAGTCCTCCCATTTTACCTATCAACTTGGTTCCTCAATGAAACATTATTTTTTGAATTAAAATTTTGGCGGGAAGGTTCTATTGAGTTCAGATCTATTGAGTTCTTTTTGGTGGTACGTACAGTTCTTAGATGGTCATTTTCGTTTTTTATATTGTTTTTCATTTATCTAAATATTATCTCGCGTCTGTTATCCAATCCTTAGCTCAGTTATATTGTGTTTTAAATTCTTAATTAATATTATTTTATATTTAAAAAATCTTATAATTAAGAACCGACGAAAGTAGATAGACAATTTACATGATACCTAACTTTAATCCTAAATATTTTATAGTCTTATATTAGATTTTTCATAGCACATTTTCTAGGAGAAAAACAATTTATGATATGTCTGTAAACTATTTATTATATATTCTATTTTTTATAAGAAATTAAAAAATATAATATTTTTCTTGCTTTTTAAAAATACATTATGAAAGCAATAGATAGTTTGTTTGAAATTAATTTGATTTAATGTAATAATTTATTAGTTTTCTAATAGTAAAATAATATATTAATAAGAAAGATGGAATCTTTAAAAATAACTTTTTTAGTTATGTTTTAAATATTAAAATATAGTCATAATTTAAAAAAAGTTCCAAAAATTGTATCTAAAGAATAATTTTAATGTAAAAACCATTTAAAATATCTTGAAATTGAAATAATTTTTTGAAGTATTAATATAAAAAAAGTTACAGTAAAAGGTTAAATATTTAAAAGAATTGGTTAAAATAACTATTTAAATAAAATTTTCATCTGAAACTTTTTTTTAAAATATTTTTAAATTTTTTAAAAAAATATAAAAACTATAAAAATTAATAATAAAAAAACAAAAAGAAACTGGACCCTATTTGTGGTAATTTAAATTGATAAAGATGAAGTAGTTAATATAATATGAGAACAATTAATATACCTGCCAACCAACTTCAATGGTATTGAGGTCTTTTTCAAATGTACCCGCCATTACCCACATTTGAGCCAAGCTGAATAGATCTGGAGTTTCTCCATGTGGATTCCACACATTCAAGGACGCCTGTGCTCCATAGAACTCTCCATCCTGCACATACTGAATTGCATGCTGCAGAAATAACAATAACCAATTTTGTTACTTCATTTTCAAAAACAATTAGAGAAAATATAAAAACAAATTAAATAAAAAGGACAAAGAGGAATGATATAAGAGACAAAAACAATCTTACAAATTTAATTCATAGTAAATTTACATGTTTCAAATTGCAGATATCTAGATGATAAAAAAGTGGAAAAAAAATTGAGTTTATGGAATTGCATACTTGGTGACTATTACTGCCCATGATGGAGAATTTTCTTCCAAATCTACTATCAGAGCTAGCTCTTAGCAAATCTTGTTCTGTTATTCTTCTTATTGGAATTGTTCCATCCGGACATGATTCACCCGATAAACTCCATAGTTGAGCACTTTCATTGAAATTATCCATTTGATTATTGCCTTTTGGTATATCTGGAGGACCCTAAAAACAAAAATATGCACACAAAAATTTCCAATTTTAAAGTTAAAGTATACTACACCTCTTGGATTCAAGAATATATTTTACTTATGTAAATTAACACAAATGAAAAGGAATACCAATGGTTTTTGTCCTTTCAATAAAGGGTGATCAAAAGCTGGTTGTTGATGTGTTAAAACACAATCTATGATATCACCATCGGGACTCTGTGATTGCATGTAATTGCATTAGCTTATAAACAAGCATATAAGTTAACATTCAAACATATAAGCTTCTAATTTGATAGACTAATTTAAAATTTAAAGTTTGGTAATTTTGAGAGTTTATAATTCATTGGGATAAAAAAAATTGGTTTAAGTTTTTATAAAAAGGGCATAATTGCAATTTTGATAAAGTTTAAGGAATATTTTAAAATTATAAAAAATATCACGAATAATTTTCAATTATTTCAAAACTAAAGTAAACAACTTGCAAATTTATGATAAATATAGTGACTAATTTGAAATATATAAAAACTTGCTAGTACATTTTTAAAAATTATAACAAACATTTTAAAATTTTAATGTAAAAAAGTATAGGTGGTATTTGTAAATTTTGCATTAATAAGATTAATGTCTTATGAAATTCTTCCAATTTGAAAAATCTAAAAATTTCAATATCCAACTAACAAGACAATTTATAATAATAATTTTATATTATTTCAAATAATTTATTTTACCATACCAGAATTGTTTTAACTGCCGGCTTGTTGAGTTGCTTAAGACGAATAGCTATGCTTTCATTCAACTTATAAAGTTCATCCTCTGATCGAAAAGTTTGATTAACAAATGGTTTTTTAATTTTTAGAGAATTATTAGAATAAATCAAGGAAACAAATACAAGGGAATGCAGAAGGATGCAGATGATTGAAGAGCTAAGATCCATGTTGGTTTTGTGTTTGTTTGTCCACAATTGTGTTATCTTCTTATATTAACTATTTATATACAAATTTTTTCTTTTCTATAAATATATAAATGTTTTTCTTTTATATAAAACAAACTCAAAGACCATCAAGAAAATAAAAAATATTTTTTTATAGAAATGTCATACAAATATAGAATGTTAAATATTTTGTTTTTTAAAAATTATAAAAATATAGACAAATAGAAAAATGGCATAAGATTCAAAATAAAATAATAAACTATCAATGATATCTTCTAGAGATATTTAAATTTGCAAACATAGTTTTTATATCAATATCAAATTTCAAACAAATATTTTTCTATCAAATTAAAAATATTATTTTTTATCAATTCATATCTTTGTCTCGGCTATAAATCAGAATAAGTTATTATAATTAATGAATCATATTTACCAAAATAAATTCTTAATATAATTAAAATTCTAAACAAAGTGAATAAAAACTAAGATACAATAGCCCATTGTGTGAGTAGCAGCAATCTTGTTAACCTTGCAAAAATAATTTGTCGAAGGAAATTTGACTTTCGTCTTGAATTCCTTAGTCCCAAACAATGTTGACGAGATTGCTTTATTCATCTAAATCTTTTAAGTTTGGCTTGTAATATTCTAATTTATTTTCATATTCTAAAAAGTTTTTTTGTTTACATTCTCCCAGATTCAAAATTATTTTTCCTTAATAAATAAAATTTTAATATATTCTATAATATTGTTATTTAAATTCATATTCAAAAACTTATTCCCTAAGTATAAATCACAGCAAATTATTATAATTTATGGATCATATTTATTAAAATAAATTTTTAACATAATTAAAACTTAAAATGAAGTGAATAAAAATTAAGATATAATAAGACATTGTGAGGGTATCAATGTTTTTTTATTTATAATCACTTGTATTAAAAGCATAATGGGTGCTAACCCAATACAACACGGAAGGGAGATCAAAGAGATCAATCTCAAGAAAATCAAAAGCTACAATCCGACACACAAGATAGGATTAACCAATTACACATCTAATAAAAAGTCACCATGACCTTTGTACAAAATAGACAATCAATCTCACACTAACCTCTTAATGAAAGACAAAATATCTTCAATATTCCACAATCAACTATAAAAAATGACATGTTTCTACCTAGCCATACACACCAAGAAATCAAAATCCGAACAAAAGCAATAAAGGACGGGCAGACAAAAGTAGACAAAGAAGTTAAGACATCCTCCAAAGAATCAAAATTCGAAGCAAAATCGACCATCATCTATAGGAAAATATCCTTCCACAAACAAGTCACTTTGATGCACTCTGCAAAGAGTTGATCCAAGGATTTAACATCCAAACCACGTATAAAGCGAACAAGAAATGTCAACCAACGGTAATTGAATACCACTATGACTCAATTCAAGTCTAGTCGGCAAAGCCTTAGACCATAACCTCCAAGATAACAATTTAACCTTACAAGGCACAACAGATTTCCAAATTCTTTGAAGCTCGACTAAAATTCTCACATCCAACAACTCCACCGAGTGATTGAACAAAGCCGAAATCCTCCTATAAGTGTTATTCACTAAAAACCCCTCCATATTCCTCCACCACACAAAGGAGTTACACATCCTCACAACCGGTCTAACATCTAACAACAAAGAAGAAAGTGCATTCCACTCCGATGCGGCATCACCCATGAAGACCCCCTCAACAAAATAAAGATATGCTTAATCAATAGCTTAATTTCATTTTTTCCGCCGCGACAGACTGATGACTCTGGTGGAGAATTATTCCCATTCTAAGCGGGTTATATGTAATGCCCCGATTTACTTATTTAATTTTCGTAAATAAATTGGGTAATGTATAAGTGTTGGTTGATGTTTTGATGTGTTAGAGGAACCCATGGGTGTAAGATGGTAACCTTAGAGTTATATATTTTATAAGTACAAGATGTATTAAGTAAAAACGTAGAGAATTGGGGGTGGTAGAGGTAAAACTAATCTTTATTAGTAATTATAATTGTTTAAATTATTTAAATAATATTAGTAGTAATTTAATTAAATAAATATTTAGTTGTGATAATATTTATTTTAATTTTTTGTGATAAATATTAATAATAATATTATAATAAGGAAAAGAGGGAAATAGAGAGGGAGATCGACAAAACACGTAAAAGAGAAAAAAGAGAAGAGAAAAGGAGGAGAGCTAGGGCATAGGAAGGTGAATCTCCATTAGAGAAGTGTCGAATTTATCATCTAAGGTAACAGCGAGACTTCCTCTTCTATAGGGGTTGCATGATAACATGTGGGTGCGTTTTGTAGTTTTTCTAGGATTGTTACTTCTCTATGTTTTCTAGGATTGATGTATTATAATGTGATTTTGTTGTATGTTGTATGAATTGAGTGTTTGTGGTATAATTGTATGATTTGGTGTTTGTGGAATTATATAAATCCTATGTGTTTTAGGTAAATAAAGTTTAGAACATGGATACATGATGTTAACAGAACTTGGATTTTGGGACTGGTTTGAAATTGATTTTCATAACAAAAATAATGTAGAAATTGCTATTGGTTCAGTAGTATTTGATTACGGGTTTGGCATAACCGATTACACATGAATTGTTTTTCTGGAAAACCAATTTTTCGTGACTGTAATCGGTTACCAGTTTGGGTGTAACCGGTTACACAGTGTAATTTTCGATATACTAGATGTTTTGGGAAGCGTAACCGGTTATAGGTTTTTGTGTAATCGTTTACCACTAGGAAATCATATATTCACTGTTTATGGACTTTATGTAACCGGTTATAAGTTATGATGTACCCGATTACCACTATTCTGTGCTAAAAATTGAATGAATTCATAACTTGAGTTTCAGGTATCCGATTGAGGTGTTGTTCGAAGTGTTGGAAAGATGGCACAAAGTACGTTCATTAAAAAATAGTTTCAATTTCTGTAAATGATTTAATTGACATGTGATTATGTTGTATGGTGTGTAATTGTATGTTGTTATAAGATGTCGGTGTAAGAATTTTTTTCAGGTATGTGATGTGTTACTATAATGCTAATATTGAATGCATGTAACATTTGTTTTGGTGTTTGGTGGTTGGTGATGGTATTGTATATTGATTAAGGTGAATATCATTGTACATATTTGTTGTACCCCGAAATTTTCTCTCTCTTTTCTCAAGACATTTCTCACAAAAATATTCAAAAGCTCAAGTTTGCACAAGTATTGACTAGGTCAAGCCACCTCCTCAGCATTAATACCTCAGAATTAGGGTTTGAGTTTGCATAAGTACAATTGGATTTTTAATGACTCATATAGTTTCCATGGATCATTTTGGACTCTCAAGCATCAGGTCGAAGATCGAACTTCTGAATCCTCGAAAGGAAGAATAGGAAACTGTCAAAAGGGCAAAGCAGATAAAAAAAGGTGTGCAGTTGCAGATAACCATGTCGAATTCAAAATCTGGTTCAAGCTCTTCGAACCACATGACTGATCGAAATGAGTGGTTAACTGATTTTAACAAGTCGAAGAAGAGAAAGCTTGCTTCGACCCCCAAGCTTCGTTTGGGCAATGGCTTCCTTCGAGCAACCACAATGATTACAAGTCTATCATTGTGGTTGCTTTGATCCACAAGCTTCGACTGGGCAATGGCTTCTTCGAGCAACTTGCTTCGACCCACAAGGATAGTTGGTTATGGCATTTGAAGTTTGGACATTTTATCTTTCGACCACTTATTCAACTGATTACTCAAGGATAGTTGGTTACTTGTATTCTAAGTCTTGAGATGCCTGAAAAAACTTTGTGAAGTTTGTTTAGTAGAAAAGCAATCTAGAAATTCTTTTGTTTCGACTATGCCAATAAGATCATCTTGCATACTCAAAGTGGTACGTTCAGATGAATATGGTCCATTCGAAGAACATAGAATTGGTGGAAACAATATAGTTTTTTCTGTTGATGTGTTTGGTCGAAGGTTGTGTGGTCCATTCAAAGAACATACAATTGGTGGAAACAAATATTATTTTGTCTATTGATGAGTTTGGTCGAAAGTTGTGGATATATGTGATCAAAACAAACGAACGAAGTAAGTGTTGCATTCAGATGAATGTGGTCCATTCGAAGAATATACAATTGGTGGAAACAGTATTGTTTTGTCTGTTGATGATTTTGGTCAAAGGTTACGTGGTCCATTCGAAGAACATATAATTGGTGGAAACAATATTGTTTTGTCTGTTGATGAGTTTGGTCGAAGGTTGTGTGGTCCATTCGAAGAATATACAATTGGTGGAAACAAATATTGTTTTGTCTGTTGATGAGTTTGGTCCAAGGTTGTGGATCTATGTGATCAAAGCGAAAGGATGAAGTATTCGACATATTTTAGAGATTCAAGATGCTTGCTGAACAATGTTCTATATGCTGTCAAGCCCAAGCTTGTTGTACTGTCTACATAACAGCCTAAAACTATGTTAAAAAAGAGTCTGTTGTACTGCTATGAAATAGTCCTGCATCAAGCTGCCACAACACTCCAAATTTTCTGCAAAACTATTCTACTACGCTGCTCCTAATTTGCACCAAATTAGCATAAAAGAGCTGCACCACAAAATCTAGGAAAAGAGCATACCCAAACAGTTCAAATTTTATTTGTTTTTCCAGTCAAAACCCCAGTAAGACTCTTCTATAAATAAGTTGTTTCACAACACACAAAGGGGGGGCTTTTAGCAAGAAAAAAGGAGAAGAAGAAAAAAAAGAGTGAGGAGAGAACACGAAGGCTGAAGCCTTAATACACTCTTAAACCCATAACATAATAACAACACCTCTGTTTTCTTTTCGATCTCAAGAACATTCAAGGCAGCAACTCATGTTCGAAACACAAACTCCAGCTTCAAGGTAAGTCTTCTTGACTTTAAACCCTTCATTCCAAGCATCATTGATGATTCATCTTCGAAGATAACATGTAATAACCATTTCCTTCGAAGT